TATGGATTTTGATCCTTCTGCCTCCTTTCTGGTTCATCTTTAAGATATTCTTAATTAGAAAAATTCTTGGTCTTAAGGTAAAACACTGACCTGTCTTTGAGAGCATCTTGTGCTTTATATGGTAAGATGCTATTTGTTAGCATGAAAATGATATTGCTGGCATCCTTTGTGCTGATTTCAAGTGACAGTTATGTGCAAAGTGCTCTGGAGTTCTTAATAAAATGAGTGGATTCAAAGCCACACAGAACACAAGCTGACAGCTGAACTCATCACTAAAAAACCAGGAGCTCCATCAAGAGTCAGTAATAACAACCATTGTACACTAGTTAGAGTGTATAGGTCAGAAATGCACAACTTCAACATGCAATGGAGATTACAAACAGATTAACATTCTGTATTGCGTAGAAAACCACATGAAAATAAGTTTCAATCCAAAGGATGAATCCATACATCAATCAAACCTGACCAAACTTCTTTTCATTGTATGTGAAAACCTATGTGTGTTATAAACATGTGCGTATTTGTGCATATTCTTTCAGAAGCAGAATTGTTTTCTCAGCAGAGTATTCTATTTTTTTTTTACCTTCTCATTTGTCACTTTCCCAAATTCTGTACAAGTGTCACTTCCGTGCTGCATATTCATGGAGAATGAAGAGTAGAATGTGCAGGCTTTCTACTGCACAATGAGATAGTGCATTTTTTCAACATATGCATACGTAAGCCCTCTTTTGTGAATGGGACTGATAGGGTCAGATAATGTTTAAAGGAAAAGGCTTTATGTCTCTCCAGCCTCTATGTTTCCACATGGATGCTCCCACACACACATAGATTGAATTATGAACAGACCCATTAATGCCGGGATCACAAAAGGTCAAGTTTTGTCTTCTTTTACCCCCTATTCAAATTGCCTTTGTAGAGGAAAAAAAAAAAAAAGGATTTGCAAGAAAAAAAAAGATTCATGATGAAGAATTTTAAAAATCACTTTTCACCTTTTAGCAACATTTGTGATTTGGAGTAAAAATATGATATCATGTAAATTAATTCTAAAGTCTTATGTTACCTATCCAATGCCAGCATATGAGTTATTTCATGTGTAAGACTGTCTTTAAGAGTGTCAAGTTATCTTAATAACAGAGAAAAAAACACAGCACTTTGAGGATAAAAACCTTATGAATATGTAAAGTAACATTGAATGGAAACAGTATCAAAATTTCAGTGGCAGGATTCTTGATTTATTTTCTCCTACAAGATGTGTTCATCTTTGGATATGTGATTGGATATATTTAAGTTTTTAAAAAAACACAGGTAACTCACATAAATTAATGAATAATCTTGGGATGAATGAAAGTAGCAAAATTGATAGAGATTATTAGTAAGGAATTTTGTCAAAACTTTCAAGGCTTTAACCAATAGCCTTTTGCAGTGCAAATGACATCATAAATTGTACGGTTGGTTGATTTCTGATGTCACATGAAATCCTCTATCAGTGAAAGACTATGTACTGTGACAGTAAAATCAGTCATGTATGAAAATACTCTCAAATCCAAGTCTGAAATCCTCCCCAACGATTTTTGGTCGTTTGCTATAGGACAAGGTGAAGTACATAAAGGAAACGGTATTTATGGCTAGCTAAATCCATTGTGTGATACCTAAGTAGTAAATGCTGAGGACTACATATTATTTCATCATGCTGAATCATGTGATGTTGAAAATTGGTTCAAAAAGAACCAGTGCTTAAGAGCATGCCAGCATGGCTGATATTGGTCTTTAACTTTGGTATCCAGCTGATGATCAAGAGTTAAGACAATGAGAGGAATCTATCACCAGATACTCAGCCTTTTAAACAATATTGTCTTCCTTTTCGTGTTTTCTTTTCTCTTTCTCTCTTGCTAATTTTGCAAAATCACCTTTTTCTCTAAATTTCTTCCTTCATTTTTTTCTTCTTTTTGATCATTCTTCCTTTTTTTAAAAAAAAAAAAACATATTTTGTTCTTTTTTTCTGTTCCTTAGGATCACCCCTGACTTACCTAAGCCTGCTTAACCTTCTATTTCCACAATTTCCAGAATATTGTTCAAATTACAATAGTAGGCCATAAGGGGGTTTCTTATGAATGGATTATAGAAATTTCCATAGACTTTCATTTCAAATGACAGTTAAGGGTTACCTGTTAGTATCCCACCAGGTAAGTTACGTAGATTGGAAAGATGCAATGGAGATAAATATGTTAGGCAGCTTTAATTAGACTGTACTGTACATATCAATAAACACCACATTTCACCAATTTAAAATATTATTTCGTACTCTTATTTTTGTTGGCCACAGATTATCTGTGACTGTCCTCAGCATTTCCCTCTCAGTCCAGGACATGGGACATTACTGTTTTGATAGTAGGGGGAAAAGAGTGATGACAAAACTGAATAATGGCTCTTAAAACTTCTGCTGTGAAGCGTCATACATGACTTGTATTCACATTTGCTTGTCCAAAGCAGTTCACACGGGGGATTTAGATGTGTCTGGGTGGAAGCCCATCTGCCAAGTCTCTCTCTCCTTGATTTCTGCTATGCCCCTTCCCCCTTTACATGCTCCACTCAACATCTCAGTCCAGCCTCGTAAGAGTTTATTTCTAAGATTCAAAGCATCACTGTGTAAGTGGAGGGGGGAGCATGTGAGAAAAGCATTGTAGGAACATGCCCTCAGTACATGAACCAAGCTAAGAACAGAACATAGCCGTCTTTAAACCTACCATTTCCAGAGTCAGGTAGTAAATGCTAGAAAACCTGACAAGCAAAGTGAATTTAATGATAAATGAACTTAGATGAGTAAGTTGGCATCAAAGGACCTTTACTCTTAATTTCTCTGTGGATAATGAGTAGCCTGGACATTCAACTTTCTGGGCCCAAATTTCCTCACCTGTGATATCATAGTGAGGTTAAATATTATCTAATGTATTACTAAATCCTACAATGGGTATGTATGTGTGGTGGGGAAATATAAGCAGTGAGAAGGTCAACCTTTTAGAGGGGAGAGATCTAATTGTGATTATGAGACATAAATCCAGACAAGGATTGGATTACAAAAGGTCTTAAATCTTTGAATATTAAGCTGAAGAATCTAAGAGAGCAACTGGATAGTTAATATACAATTTAAAGCAAATAAGTGGCAAAATATATCACAGTGGGAGATTGTGGATGTAGATACTACTCAAGCTGTTTTAGTAATCAGATTTTGGAAAGGATGTGAGGAGATGGCAGACTGGACCAGAATGTTACTTATATAAAAGGGAAAGGAGGTTAAAGCATACGAGGGGCTGGCAAATTGTAGTCCTGTGGGAAAAACTCCAGTGCATTGCTTATTTTTGTAAATAAAGTTTCATCTGAACATAACCTTGCACTTTTGTTGACATGCTGTCTGTGGCTGCTTTCCAAGTACTCATACAGAGTTAAATAGTTTGAACAGAAGACATATGATGCACAATGTGAAAAATATTCACCATCTGACCTTTATGGGAAAAATTTGTAAATCCTTTTTATCAGAAGGAATTGTTTAAATAGTGCAGATGATTCATTACTAAGGGACAAATAAGAAACATTTAAAAGAGGAAAAGATGTATCATTTTTATTACTTTGCTTCATGCACATAATGCTTACAGCATTTTTTGGGCAAAGTAATACGTAATTGGAATTTTTAATCATGTTTGTGTGTGTGTGTGTGCATGTACTGCTATTGTGCTGTGGAAGGTTAATTCACCATCTGTGCTGCTGATATTCCCATTTAGGTGCTGATTTGTGTCCTGGCTGCTCCACTTCTGAGCCAGCTCACTGACAATGCACCTGGGAATGCAGCAGAAGATGCCCCAACTACTTGGATCATGGCACTCATGTGGGAGACCTGGATGAAGCTCACAGTCCCTGGAACCAGTAGATGAATTCATATTCCTATTTTAAATACAGGTATATTGACCAGAAATCTAGACATTTAAAAATCAAGGGTTTATATATTTCTGACACCTTATTGTTTCTGGAAAATTATATTATTTATTTTGACATTGATATATATCTCAAATATTGTATACAATGCAACATTGTCCTTGAAGTATGACCATTTTGGAATGTTGTATGAAATTTGAAAATATTTGAAAAATATGTTGAAATGAAATGCATTCATTTTAAAGATCAGAAAACGTTGCGCCTGGTGCGATAGTGTAGTGGTTAAAGTGCTCACCTTGCACGTGCTGTGATCCCATATGGTCGCCAGTTCTAATCCCAGCAGCTCCACTTCCCCTCCAGCTCCCTGCTTATGGCCTGGGAAAGCAGTCGAGGACGGCTCAAAGCCTTGGGACCCTGCACCCACATGGGAGACCCGGAAGAGCTCCTGGCTGCTGGCTCCAGATTGACTCAGCTCCAGCGGTTGCGCTCACTTGGGGAGTGAACCATCAGACGGAAGCTCTTCCTCTCTCTCTCTCTCCTCTCTGTATATCCTCCTTTCCAATAAAAATAAATAAATCTAAAAAAATCAGAAAATGTTGATTATTTAAATATATGTATCAAGCTTTTCAGGTAAAGTAAATTATTCTAGAGGAATGCTATAAATGTATAACAAAGTGAGGCATTTTTCTACTCCTGTACTGGGTTATTTAAAGTATTTAAGGTCTCACTTCTGTTTTCCAGTTTAAAAGTTCTTTAGCATGCACATGTGTGAGATGTGCTTTTTTTCATACCCACAGTTATTTGTCATTCTGCACTTGTAAATGGCTACCAAGTCTATAGTACTGAAGTCAAGAGGTTAGACATTTTTCTGTAAAGAAAATTTGGTTGATAAAGGAATGTATATCTCTTCTAGTCTCCTTACATTAAGGTAGATCTGTACTGAAATTCTTGTGTTGAAGTTATTTCTTTCCCTCCATCAAGCTAGGTACTCAAAAAAAAAAAAAAAGAAATCTAATAGGTGTGACATCAACAATTACTTCTTGCTAACAACTCTGGTAATTTAACCCCTTCAGGTGAGCAAGCTGATTGATGAATTGCAGGCAGCTATCAAAAACAACAGAGGTCATCTCTTGAAACGTGGCCCCCAATTACAGGCTGCACAGGAGCAATTCTCCTCTTCTGTCTGCCAACACATTCAAAGCCTTCCAGCAAACACACTTGTCCCAGGAGGCCTGAAACTCAAGGTGGGTATCATTCTACAACTCTCATTGGATTCAGCCAGGGACAAAAGGCATTGCTCCCTTTGAAAATCCTGTAACAATACCTACCACCCAGCTTGAATTTCTTTTTATGTTGTGTTCTGCAAAGTAGAGCTTTGCTTACAAGTGGAAATATTACCATTCAGCAAATAGGTTTTAAAAGAATTACTTTAGAGACATTCATGTGGATTTATAAATTTTATTTTCCACCCAGACATGTAATGTTAATGAAGAAATTTAATCATATGCACATTTGTGTACTTTCTCAAGAAATATATTTCTCACAGGAATCACTGTGCATTTCCATCTCTAAAAATATTTTTTTTTGGAAAAATAGGCAAGCTTTAATAATTGACAGACTGTGGCAATACGTTTTGGAGGTGAAAGGCCACGTGACTGATTGATGTTCAAACTACATTTCCAAGGAAGAGGATCTGTATTAGATAAGTGTGACACATGTCTGGAGTTCACTTGGTAAAATCAATACTTAAGAATATCCTGGGAGAAAAGGTGAATTGGTTATTTGTCAGGACAAGCTGGCTAAATGTCCTAAACTACTCTGATACTGCATCTTTAGAAAAGTAACAGCTCAGACTTGGGCTACAGAATGGGTACTGCAAGCTTAGGAAACCCTAACCCTAACCCTAACTCTAACCCTAACCCTAGCTCAGACTTGAGCTGCAGAATGGGTTCTGCAAGCTTACAGAATCTCCATACATTAGTCTCCCATAATAGAGTTGCCATGTTAAGTCTGCCAAGTTAATGTCATTCTATAATTTCATATTCCACATTTCAGTAGATTATTAATAATGAAATTTAAATTAGTCCAAGTATGGAGTGTGTATCTCTTTCCTTTCAAGGAAACACTGTTATTACAATTCTTACTTTGCTGTTGATTATGGTTATAGTGCTGTGATAAATTCAAAGCTAAGCAAAGTATAATCAATCTTTATCTCTACATTTCCTTTTTCATAATATTCAGAGTTATTGTGAAAGTAACATTATATTTCACTCTATAACCTGTTTATTTTAACTACATTCCCATGTGTGCATTTTGGATGAGAACATTACCATGGAAACATTTACCTTTTGAGGCAGTGTAACTCCATGCTTAACATGATACCTGATTTCTCATATTTCTTGTAATCTGTGCTAGGCAGCTAAGGGCTTAAGAAATGCAATGCAATACATCAAGGTCAAAGGTTTCCATAGTGTAGTAGCATTGTCTATTTCCCAAAGATTTTTTAGTTGATTACAATCCATTCTACCATTCTAAAAGAGTTTGCTAATCTTTAAGAGAGAAACCAGGTGAAAGACTGCAGTTACTTGAATGTTATTTTCTTCCACTTTTTTGTATAAGCAACTATGAACTATAGTATGACCTATGGAAAATGTTTTATCCTGTTACGAGTTCACCACTTATTTCTGAACAATCTCTATCATTTATATACATTAGCAGAGGGATTTTAAAACAAATATTTAACTTTCAAAGTTGAATTCTTTTTGATTATCCTCTTAGTATGCTTCAAAATTCTTTCCATATGATCAGAGCAAAGATGAAAAGTATGAACACAAACAAGCTACATTGTTGTATCTCTTTAGACTCACAGCACTATACAATATGGTAGCTACCAGCTGCATGTGACTAACCAAAATTAAAGTGAAAAATCCAGCGTCTTGGTGGATTGCCAGGGATTTCCTGCTTTTAGCGCTGAAAATCTCACATCCGACAAAGTGAGATGATTTGTTACTTCTCTTCTGTCTCCAGATTTCCCTCTCCCTTTCACCCAACATTATCTTTTTTTGGATTTTTGATATGAGCTATTCAGCTCCACTTAGGTCTTCCTCCTCGCTCTGTTTTTCTCCTTGAACATCTACTTTCAGTGAATCCATCTCTCTTCCACATCTCTGAAACCCTGGACACCAGCCTTATCACTAGGTTTTTGCACAGTGGTTTTCAATCCTGACTGTGTTAGATCCTTATAGGTACCTTGTAAAGATACCAGTGTCCTCTCCCCCACAGAGTTTGTTCAATCTGTTTGAGGTTCTAACTTCCAATACATGTGCAGGCTTCTGTTCATATCTCAGACTGTGAGCACTGTCTGATCACAAAATTTTCATGCATTTTGTGAGCTATTGCTAAACATAACTGTTACTAAAATTGATATAGACTTATAATTAAGTAAATAATATCATACAGGAGTAATACATAATCTTCATAGCCTAATTATTTTATTTCCTGCTACTATTCTCTTAAAGTCATCCATATCATGTTTATTAGACATACATATTATGTAACTGAGTGTTTATCTCTTCTCAAACTAATTTTCCTTGATGGCTTATTGTTAATTCAAAATTGGTTAGGGTGGAAGTTTTTCTTACAAGAGAAATTGGCAAATGCTATAAAGGGGGGGCTTGGTTTGAAATTTAATTGGTCGTCTAGATGAGGGAGTGGTAAACCACAGACCATGGAGTGAATCCGCCTGGCTTTGAAATAAAGTGTCACTGGAACGTGGGCACATTTACTTATTTGTGTGTTGTCTATGGCTATTTCCTCATCATAACAAAGTTGAATAGTTGAAACAGAGAATACATGACTTGAAAAACCCAAAATAGCTACTGTTTGGCCCCTTAGAGAAAAATTTGCTGACTTCTGGCCTAAGCACACAATGGAAAAAAAGATTGACAATGTAGATTAAATGTGAAGTGTGAAGCTTCTCTATCTGCTACATTATGAATAATGTGAAGAATTGGAATTTTGAAAGTATGTATCAATGATGTGGTTTGGTAAAGAAATTACAATGTCCTTCACTAACAGTTCCTCTAACTAGCTGTGGGCTTTATCCACCTTGTGGCATGGCATGTACTGTGCATAATGGTGATGTATCAGTCAACATAACCATTCATGACTACAAGGAGTGGCTCTAATAAAACTTTGTTTTCTATTCATTTTAAACTTTGGAGTCTGATAAGAACTTAATGGGAAAACTATCCTTTTTTTTTTTAAGGTTTATGTATTTATTTGAAAGGCCAGAGTTTCGTAAGAGAGGGAAAGACAGAGATTTCCATTTGCTGAATCACTCCCCAAATGGCTGCAGTGGCTGGAGCTGAACCAATCTGAAGTCAGGAGCCAGGAGCTTCTTCTGGGACAGAAGCCCGGACACATTGGCCATATCCTCTACTGCCTTCTCAGGTGCATTAGCTGGGAGCTGAATGGGAATTGGAATAGCTGGGACTTGAACCAACAACTGTATGGGATACCGCCTCTACAGGTCATTGCTTTACTTGCTGTGCTACAGTAGCAGCTCCAATAATCATCTTTCTAATGTTCTAATCATTTATGATTTCTGTCATTCTGCTGTATATATATATATATATACAACAGAATGACAGAAATCATATATATATATACATGGAAGAAATCATATATATATATATATACATGGAAGCCTATAGCTCAACTTTCAGAACAATCTACTACAGCCATCATCTTCTCTTAGTGAAGTGGTTCTAAACCAGGAAATTGAGACAGGATGTGATTAAAAAATCCCTGCCTTCTTTCTGGTGTGTATTTCATTCTCAAAATATTTTTCTTTGATCATCTTTAAATAGCAAGTTTTAGTGAAGTCTTAACATTAGAAGGTTAATTCATAAAAGGACACATTATATCTTGCTTTTTTTTCTTTTTCTTTTTCTCTTAGTCCCATTCTTACAATCACATGGCATAATTCAGCACAGAGTTTAAAAGAGCATGCCAAGGGGAAAAACTAAAAAAATTTGCCTAAAACTAGATATGCCTACTACTGTTTGAGTAACAGACATTTTGAAAATACAACGTACCAACTTTTGAGAAATTTTAGGGAAAAAAATCAATTGCCCTTAATTGTATGGTTCCCACATGACATTTTCTTTCTTCACATGACATTTGCATATGCATCCATATGCCCTTGTAGTCACAACCACAGTGTGCAGAGCTTTGGTCCTGAGACATTCTCCTGCCTTCACACCACAGCCATCACTACACATCACCATCACATCACTACAATCACTGTGTAGTGAGATTTCTTATTGTTTTGGCTTTCCAAAGTTACACATAATGTGCATAATAATCTATGAAGTCCTTGAGACAACAAGTTTTTAGGACAATTTCTTATCGTTACAAACCCTTCTGACCGCATATTCCCTGTCACTGCCACCACCTCCAAGCACTGTTCTAACAAGCCTCCGTGACTCCTGTCTTCCTAGTCCTGTTCTCCCCTTGCAACTCCTCCTCTTCATTCCCATGGAGATGCTGTCAGAAATGTTAGCATATCCCTGGGAGAGCAGGAAAGAAAGGATTGATAAGAAAGGGTATTAGCAAATCTGTAGAGGATGGTGGGTGGGAAAAGCACTCTGAGGGCAGGGACTGTGACACAGAATCGATGAGCAAGAGGATATGAAGTGTGAGCAGGTGGGCGGAATCATGGGGAAGGGAGTGGAAGAGGAGTACCAGGATGCCTCTTCTCTGGAATTAGTGCTTTTCACACACATTTGGTCAGTGATGCCCTGTGGGTTGTCTTCCATTTGCTGCCAGTAGAGGAAGATCTAGTTCCCAAGAGGCTTAGATCTTATAAAATTTGAAAACCAGAAATTCAGGTAAAGCCATGGCTCACTTTAAAATTAAATCTTGCTGTAGATATTCAGGATGAGAAAGTAAATCACACAATAAATTAAAGGAGCCTTGGAGATTCAAGTTCTTCCTGCTGGATCTGTTTTTAAGGCAGCTGATCAGAAATAAATACAAATTCTTCCTGATTGACATCTGACCTCCCTCTCCTTCATTGACAACTTCTAGAACTTTCAGGAGTTGCAAAAAATTAAGGGACTTGATGCTTAATCTTCATTAACTTCATATAAACTCAATCTGGCTATGAAAGATGGAAATATCATGAAACCTAGTTACGGGATATAAAAAACCCAGAGGGCTGTAATGTAGAGATTCTTAA